AGACAAAGAGCATAATTAACAAGGTACTTTGGAGAGTTTCAGAGGATATTTATCTTTTCAATTTTTGCAGTATTCTCATATCTTCCAAAGGCTACTCTTCTCTCACATATCCTGACCATTTACAGATTTTGTCAGCATCAACTTGTATTTTAATCTTGTATTTAAATTATATTCTTTTCCTGATTATTACAGTTTATTGTCAAATTTGTGTGAAATTTAGAACAGAAAAAAAAATAAACAGTACTCTGAATTCTATGACTTAATAATGACCACAGGCAATATTTTGGCATATCTTTATTTGTGTTCTTTGCCTTCATTTCTATAAATATATTTCTACATTTGTATTTTTTTCAGAATTATACTTTGTTAACTATTTTAAACACACTTTTTAAAATATTATATCAATTAAAATTTCATCAATGGCTTTCTGTATCATTAAGTATTCCAAATGCAATTTAATATTTTAAGAATAATACCTTGTATTATGTTATGGATATACTGTGTCATGGTTATTTGACTAATCCCTCTCACTGTACACTTCGTATTTTTCCTCTTTTTTGGCTTCATAAATGATACTGTAAAAAAAGTCCTTGTAGATAAATGTTTGCTTTCACATTACAAGATATTATGGTATATTTGTAGAAGTAGAATAGTTAGGTCAAACTCTATGCACATAATTTAGGCTGTCAATATGTATTGCTAAGTTGCTCTTTAAAAAGGTTCTAACAGTAATATTATTGATCATTTTCAGTGTACAAATTTCTCATTTTTTTGTTAAATTTATTTCTAAATTCAATTGTTTTCTTAATTTCCCTTTTAGATTATTCATTGCAAGTGTATAAAAAACAATTGATTTTCAACATTGATATTGTGTTTTGCAATGATGTTGAATTTATGTATTAGTTCTAATAGTTTGTTAGTGGATTACTTAGAATTTTCTATATAAGAGATTATGTCAACTGAAAATAGAGAAAGTTTTATTGGTACCTTTGTCAAAGATGAGCTGGCTATAAACACTTGGATTTATATCTGTGTTCTCTATTCTGTTCCATTGGTCTTTGTGACTGTTTTTAAGTTATTACCATGCTGATTTGGTTACTACAGCTTTGTAGTAAAATTTGAAGTCAGGTAGTGTGATACCTCCAGCTTTGTTCTTTCTGCTCAGGATTGCTTTAGCTATTTGGGATTTTTTGTGGTTCCGCATAAATTTTAGGATTTTTTAAAATGTTTCTGTAAAGAATGTCATTGGTACTTTGGTAGGGATTGCATCTATAAATTGCTTTGGATAATATTGTCATTTTAATAATATTAGTCTTTTCATCCATGAACATGTATTATCTTTCCATTTTAGTGTGTCCTTTTCAATTTCTTTCATCAGTGTTTTATAGGTGTCCTTATTCTGCTTTTTCATTCTGGATACCTTTCACTTTTTTAGTGTCTAATTTCTAGAACCTTTAGTGCAATGCTGAATAGAACAAACATCTTTGTCTTGTTCCTGAAAGGGTATTTTTCACCTTTAAATATGATGTTAGATATTTTTTCATATATATATATATATATATATATATATATGTAAATGCCCTTTACGAGGTTGAAGAAGGTCCCTTCTATAGATTGTTGAGTTTTTTGATCATGAAAGAATGTGAGATTTTGTTACATTATTTTTATCTGCTTTGATGATATTATTTTGTCCTTTATTCTATTAATATGGTATATTATACTGATTAATTTTTGTATGTTAAACTAACATCATATTCCTGGAATAAATCCCACTTGATCATGAGATATGATCCTTTTTATATATTGCTAGATTCAGTTTCCTAATATTTTGTTGAGGGATTTTTGTATTTATGCTTATAAGGGATATTGGTCTATAGTTTGTTTTTGCTTTTGTTTTTTTCCTTGTGATGTGTTTGTCTGGTTTGAGCATCAGGGTAATATTAGCTTCTTAGAATGAATTAGAAAGTAGTCTCTCCACTTCTATTTTGGCAGGATTTGTGAAGGATTCTATTAATTCTTCTTTAAATTAGTGATATATTTCATCAATGAAGTCATCTGGTCCTGGGCTTCTCTTTGTCAGATTTTTAAAAATTATTAATTCAATCCATTTGCCTGTTATAAGTTTATTCAAATTTTCCATTCTTGAGAAATTTTATGTATGTTATCTAATTTCTTAACATACAGGTGTTCATGGTGTTATCTAATTCTTTTTATTTCTGTAAGGTCGGTAATAGTGTCCCCTCTTTCATTCTAGATTTTATAAAATTGAGAAATCTCTCTTTTTATCTTGGTCAGCCTATCTAAAAGTTTGTTAATTTTGGTCATATTTTCACAATTCAGCTTTTGGTATTGTTGATTTTCAGTGTTGTTTTCAATTCTTTATGTCATTCATTTCTGCTTGATCTTTTATTATTTACTTATTTCTGTTTGCTTTGGGTTAATTTTATGTTCTGTTTTCTTATTTTGTGAAATGTTAGGGCATTGATTTGAGATCTTTCTCATTTTTTTAATATAGCCTTTATAGATACACATTTCCCTCTAAGCACTACTTTACCTTTATCTCAAACAGTTTTGATGTTTTGCACTTTCATTTTTATTCATCAAAATGTTTTGCAATTTCTCACATAATTTCTTTCTGACCCACTGGTTATTTAGAGTATGCTGTTTAATTTCCACATATTTGTGAATTTACCAAATTTCTTTCTGTTATTAATTTCTAATATAATTCCCTTGTAGTTAGAGAACACTCTTTGTTTCATTTACATCAATTTAAATTTATTGTGGCTTGTTTTATGACACTCTGTTTTGGTTATTTAGCTGTGTTAGGTAAATCTAAAACAACTAAGAATTGAAAATTATTACAACTGGATTTGTGTGTGTGTTTATGTGTGTGGGGTTACATGTGTGCAATGGTGAAAGGAAGGGAATGCTGATTATTTAAAAAATAAGCTTTGTAGGATTTTTTGAAACATGCGTTCTTATTATTTTGGTTTTAAAAAACTTCTAAGTAAAAAAATCAAAATAATCCTTTCACAACAAGCTAATATTTGAAAGCATTAAGGTATGTCATTATCCTACACCACAACCACATCTTGCATGTGCATAGAAGTATGCACACACACACACTCTTTACAAGGGAAAAATACCTAAATATTGTGCAATAATTTAATCTATAGGTTTTAAGTATGTTAAGACCAAGAGCATATCTTTTCTTAATAAGTATACATCATATATATCGCAATTTTTATATTTCCATACAATTCAAATGTATACAAAAACATTTCACTTATGGGTCACTGAAAATTAGAAAAAAATCTATACTCCAATTTAAATTTCTTACGTGATTTTTTAGAGAATGTATATGCAATATGTTTTGACTCCATTTCACTATTTAACACTGTCAACAATTTAAAACTTCTAAATCTATTTCTTAGTGTTTCGATTGTGACTCTTTTAGGATTCTAGAAATTGATTATAAAGTTAAAATAAATTATATATATTTATAGTTCTATGGAATGCCATACTTTACTTAAAATCTGAATCATTATACATCGACTGGGTATTTTAAGGGGAGATTTACTCAGCGTATTGGAATGTAATTCAATTCAACAATGAGAAGAACACATAAAATCCTGCAGAGACAGCACACCCTGTGAGAATTTGTTCCATAAATTCATACCAGCAAGGGAGATTGATTATATAGTTTCCAGTCATTTCAAATGCCCTCCACTATATTTATAGCTAGGTGTAAGTTGTCTGTCTTTGTGTGTGTGTGTATAAATGTAAATAGACAGTGAGTGCTTGCTTAGTTGACCTATGTAGCAGGAAAATGTGAAATCAGCAAGAAAGGATTGATTTATTGTTATTATAGTTATAACCCTTTCTTTCCTATACTACACCAGGTGTAAGCAGAATCAAAAGTGCTAGTAGATAATTGCAGATGTATTTGGCATCCTGAACTGGACTGGTTTGTGCACTCAAAGTCACTCAAGCTCTTTCTTTCCTTGTTGGCTACTCACATGTCTTCTTGGCCAGTACATAGAGTTGTACTTCCCTATATGGTAGTCACTAGCTACATGCGGCTATTTAAATTAAAGCTTAAATCAATTAAAATGAAGTCAAATAAAAAAATGTAGTTTCTCCATCACAATACCTGCCTTTCAAGCTATCAATATCCACATGTGCCTATTGTATAGTACAGAACATTTCCATCATGGCAGAAATTTGAATTAGACAACACTGGAATAGACCTTTCCCTGTTATTACTCTTACTTTTCCTGATGCTACAGCCCACGTTCTGCCCTCTGGCACAGGCTGACTAATCTTCAGTGGCTCAGTTGCTCTGTAGCTCTCTGTAGCTGTCATCTCTGCTGCTCTATATTTGCCTTGTAGCTTTTGAAAATGATGGAGAATTGTTCACCTTTTCTCCCCACCAATCTTTGCCCATTAAGTATATGCAACCCTCTGGGTACACCTTTCATGATGGCTGTTCTGGATTTACGATCATTCTTATAGCTAAGAATCATCCTTCAAGTATTAAAAAAAAAGAATGGTTGAATGACACCTACATTGTTTTCGATTCGTAAGCATTTTTGTCTACCAACACTGGCCTGAGTATTGAAATCCTTTTTCCATTAGAAATATTCTTTTCAATTTGACGTATTTCTCTCTTTGAATGACAATATCTGAGAAAACACTTCCAATGGCATGCATTACAGAACTTTCAAAGTTTTCCTTCTTCACTGAACACCTCAATGGTTTCATAATGATAGGACTGATCTTCTTTTCTATGTGTCACTTTCTGTGTAAAAGATAAGTCTTGTATTGTTATAGTTTTCTCGAGGGGATAAGGCTTCCCTGTGTGAAGAAATCACAGAACTTCCTAATTTTGCATTTTGTGTAATTATAGAATTACCTTGAATAAAAACACATTTTATGCAAATTGTATGTAAAGATGTGAGTTAAGAGAAGGCAAGTCCAGCATGACTTTTCACATTATACATAATTGGTAACAGAGAAGGCAGGGATTAAGCCCTCCGTCTTGTGAATTCAGCACACAGTTAGAAAATATATATGTTGCAGGATGGAGAAAGGCTTTATACTTTTAAAAGAGACAATTAAGGGCTGAGACGAGTAAACTGAATTATCTTGATAATTACAAAAATCATCAACAGCACCAGACATTATTAAATGAAACCCATAGTCAGGCCCTATGTTAAACCTCTCCCCAAACTCCAAACATTTTACTATCATTCTTGACATTGGTACCCAGGACTAGACCCAATGACAGTCAAGACTTAATACTCAGTAACTGTCAGGACTCAATCCATCATGACTCAGATGACTCTTTACCTCAAAAAGTGGAGCTCCCCATGAATTCTTATTCCTGTCAACTCTCATCCCCCTCACATATGGTTTTCCTTCTATTTCCCTCTACTCTCTAGGATCTCTACGCTTCCATAAGTCCTCTATATTTTTCCAAGCTTCCCTTCCCTCCATGATTTCTCCTTATTAGGAATATGGCCATCACAAGGACATTTTTTTTTAATAGGATTTTCTGTGAATCTTGGCATGAGTCTGGAAGTGATCATTTCTAGAAGCCTTGCTCTCTGGGTTGATTTTTCTAGATGATCTTTATCTGTTAAAAACAGCCACTTCCTTGTGTGAGTTTACATCTCTGGACATCTCTTGGTCACTACTGGCCAGCCTTATAGTAGTATATCCTGCACCCTACTCCTCTCATTTTCTGAGTGATTTCAGTATCCACATGAAGGTCCATCCAAAACCCTGACTTATCATTCCCTTGTCTTCAGGTTTCCATTGATCTTTTCCTCCATTCCTCTCAGCTTCTGCCATTAAAGATTCATCTCCACCCAGCAATCAGACGAGGTGGAACAATTTGGTAAACATATTTTTTGACATCATTTGACTTTAAAATACATTGGTCTATGTTATACTAAAAAAAAAAAAAATCTTAAAAATAAAATAGTAGCCTAAAAATAGTAAAAGTAATGTTAAAACATATGATATAAATTATTGATTCATATTACTCAAATTTAGAAGAAAAAAAAAAGCAGACGGACCAGAAAAGGAAAAATAGAAATGAGACACAAAATATAACTGTTAGGTTTGTTCCAGGTAGGATGGAATGTGGTTAATAGAAAACTGAGGTTTGTGAAACAATAGCCACAGGAGTCTGGAGAGTCCCAGGAGGTTGTAAAATCTAACAAGGCAGCTGCAGATGCCAGCATTCCTATCCCCCCTGATAAGGATGGAACTACCCCCCTCCCTCACCTCTATAGTATGAGACAGACGCCAGACGCTGGGGTCCCAGAAATTGGTTGTTTAAAAATTTTATTGCAGGGGCTGTTCTGGCCCAGGTACTCAACCCCCTCTAAAGAAACCCTCTATAAAACCCAAAGCTTTCCCCTCCCTCAGGGTGTATGCTTTTTGGCCTCCATATATCTGCACCCAGATGCTCAAACAAAAGGCATTTTTGCTACTCCTGAGGCTTCGTGTGTCTCCCTTTCCTCTCGGTACCTAACAATAACTAGTTGCAGATAAGTTATTATAATAAGAAATTCTTATCATAACAAGAAATTCCCAAGGTGGTAATAATAAGATCAAGGAAAAGTTCTTGTTGTTTCTTTTCTTTAGGTATGAAATATCAAAGCAGGTTGTATTTGTACATGAAATACTACATATTTAGGCAGTTTACTCCTTGACGTCTGTGTGTTGGTGCCATTACAGAAATAGATTATCATGGGAATCAGTTGCTTGCTCTGTTTTGTCAAAAGAAATGAAACCTCCACTAAAATAACACATGCTGCAATATTTTATGCTTCTATAATTCTGTTATGAGAACAGACTGTTTACTTAAGATGCTATGACAGGAGATGAAATTGGCAGTGATATGGCCAGCTAAAGTTAAATAAAAACAAAATGAAAACCCAAGTGCTTTGACTGTTAGGGCAATACAGATAACTAGAACTGAATGTATACCCTTCATATTATTTAGCTCCTTATTTTATTTAAAACTTTTCAGATCGTCAGCCTGGGCTTTATGAGTACAGCATAGCACTAGGCATACATACTGGGGAAACCATCAATGCTTATTGTCATGATTTTGGAGGCTTTTGGTATGTCAGAAGTACTATTATTCTTCCCTTTTCACATTTAAAACATTCACATTCTTGCCTGTTTTCTACCTCCCACCTCTAGAAACTTGCCAAGGTACCATAGAGCAAGAGTTACAAATTTGATAATTTTAAAATTATTTTAAACATAAATAGTGTTAGGTTTTAATAAAAAAATCAACACATAGTTAAAAAATCAGTGAGTCATTAGAAAAAATATATATTGATCTTTAATTATTTATAATTTAAACTAAAATGCAATAAGAACTTTCTGATACATGTGTAAATATTTTAGCAGTGATATTAGTTCATTCCATTTTCAACTCATGTATAAATTAATTTTATTTTTTAACAATTTAAATTTCTAATAAATTACATAATTTATAATTTAATTTTAAAAATTGAGATTTGGATCTAGAGCTACCTTTAAATCCTACATATACATCCTTCTCCTGGTTTCTTAATTTTTAATTGATTATCTCAGGGTGAGAGAGGAAATTACTAGTTAAATTTCAAGGATTTATAGCATTTCAATTTAGAGGAATCCGTCTAAAAGATAGGAGAATATTAGGTAGGCAGAATAGTTAAGCCATTTAATCTCAATAAATAGAATAATCTCATATCAGGCCTCATATTCACCTCAATATAATACCGAATATAGCAATCATTTTGCAAGAATGGGCTCTTATATTTTTTATTTCTCTATGTCAATGGGAAATAACCCAAACTCCATAAAGTAATTTAAAGAGGTTTATTATGATCCAAGTTTCAGGACCATGGCCTGGAGCCATGCCCAAGAAGCCTTGGGCAAATGGACTCACTGTGGCTGGGTTACAGTTTGGTTTTATACATTTCGGGGAGACAGGGGTTACATGTAAAGTCATAAGTCAATACATAGAAGGCATACATTGGTTTGGCCTGAAAAGGGAAAAGGTGGGACATCTCATGGGGAGGAGGGCTTACAGGTTATAGGTGGGTTAAAAGACTCTTTGATTTGTAATTCAAAGAAATAAAGCTCTGAAGTCTAAAGGCTTGGCATGCTTTAGGATAAGGAAGTCTGCTAATCAGAGACAAGCCACCTGACACATACCAGACATAAGTGATGTGTTAAGTAATTTGAGGACCTGCAGGTGTGGTTCACGCTTGCTCTTGCACAGCCTTAGGCCTGTTAATGAGTTACAAAGGATACCTCCAAGAAGGGAGGGGGCATGGCTGACACCCTTCTCGTGGCCAGCAGCTCAGCTTTAGGGTATTTCTGGGGTCATCTTGGCCAAGAAGGAGTCCATTCTGTCAGCTGAGGGGCTTAAGATTTTATTTTCGTTCACAACTAGAACCTTGAGATCATCAAATGGTAGAGTTATGGGGAGTTCTTAGAAACCTCTGATTGGCCTCTCCTTCCTTTATGCCTTTTTTCTTCTTTTAATAATTTATTGAGATGAAATTTATATAACACAAAACTAACCAATTTAAAGTAAATTCAGTGGCATGTAATACACTAACAATGTGGTGCTATTGTTACAGCAAGTGTTACAGCAGGTGGTCCCGAGGACAAACTGAGTGGCACACGGAGAATCAGAGAATCAAAGTTTATTCACCGGTGGGCTCAGAGGGGTCTCACCACCAAATTCTGAGCCATGTCTACCAGATTTTTCCCACTTTTATTAAGTTGGGGTGGCCCGAGGGGTGGAGTCTCAGGTGGCTAAGGTAATAGGTTAGTTGATGTGTCAGGTAATAGGTTTAATGTTATGCTGATGTGCCAGGTAATAGACTAGTTGATGGGCCAGGTAATAGGTTAGTATTATGCTGATGTGGGTCTTCCGTGAGGGGTGGGGGTCTCAGGTGGCTGATGCGACAAGTAATAGATGGGGATTTTCCTTATCCCTATAACCCCTCTATCTAGTTTTGAAATATTTCTTTCACTTCAAAGAAAAACCAGTTACCCATGTTGTAATTTCTTCCCGTTCCCTTTCCCTTAGCCTCTGTCAAACACCAATCTGCATTTTGTCTCTATGAATTTATCTCTTCTGGATATCTCATACAAATGGAATTATACAAAATGTGACCTTTTTGAGTCTGGATTCTTTCATTTAGCATAATGCTTTGGATGTTGATTTTTATTGTGGTAAAAAACACATAACGTAAAATTTGCCATCTTTGTTTTTAAGTGTACAGTTCAGTTACCAGTATTCACATTGTTGTGAAACAGCTCTCCAGAACTTTTTTATCTTGCAAACCTGGAAATCTACACCAATGAAAAAATAACCCCCTATTTCCCCTCACCCCTCAGCCCATGGTAACCGCTATTCTGTAACAGAGGAAGTAGTCGCCCCTCCTTCCATACATATGGAAGAGAAATATTGGGAGTGGGGAATATGTAACAGAGGGAATGGCCTGGAAAAAAAGTGTGAAATGTTTTCTGTCTTTTAAAAATTTCCCCCACTCTTTTGGGAACTTGAAGCCTGGCCTGCATCCCTGAGGCAGGTTAAGTCTTTTGTTAAAACTCCCAGGTGGCGCCAGCCCCCCAGGTGGGCGGCTAGCAGAGTTTGCAGGCTTTGTCTTTGGCAGAGATAAGAGGTTAGAATGGTGAACCACAGTAATTCCCTGAAGCCAAGAAGCCTCCCTTTAAAAGCTCTGTATTTCTGCCTTTGTTCTGGAAATTTGGGATTTTGAGACAAGAAGGTTTACTGTATTTCCTCCTTTGCAGGCAAAGTACACTCTTTCCTTCCTCCTCAAACTGCTTGTCCTTGTTCTTCAATTCAGCCTCGTGGACAAGTGGCCCAGCTTTCGGTAACAATACTGCATTCTGTTTCTATGAATTTGCCTACTTTAAGTATCTCATATAAGTGGAATTATACCATATTTGTCTTTTTGTGATCAGCTTATTTCACTTAGCATAATGTCCCCAAGAATTCCACATGTTGTAGCATGTGATAGGATTTCCTTCATTTTTAAGGCTGAATGATACTCCATTTTATGTATATATCATTTTTTGCTTATCCATTCATTCCTTGTTGATGGACATTTGAGTTGATTTTACCTCTTGGCTATTGTGACTAGTACTGCTATGAAGATGGTTATGCAAATGTTTTTCTAATCTATTGGATATTTACTCAGAAGGGGGATTGCTGGATCATATGGTAGTTCCAGTTTTAAGTTTTTGAGGAACCTCCACATTGTTTTCCATAGCAGTTCCACCATTTTATAATCTCAGCAACAGTGCACAAGGGTTCTGGTTTCTCCATATCCTCACCAACACTTGGTATTTTCTAATTTTATTGTTGATATTTGCCACCCTAATGGGTAGGAGGTGATAGTGCATTGTTGTTTGTTGTTTTGATTTTTATTTCCCTTATGCTTAGTGATATGGAACATCTTTTCATATGCGTGTTGCAGCAATGTCTATTCAAGTCTTTTGCCCATTTTTAATTGAGTTTTTTATTATAAAGTAGCAGAAGCTTTTTTATATTCTGGATATTAACCATGTATCAGATATGACATGCAATTATTCTCATTCCATAGGTTGCCTTCTCACTCTGTAGATTGTGTCCATTGACACACAAAAGGTTTCAGTGTGATACAATTCCACTTCTTTATTTTTGCTTTGATTGTCTGCATTTTTGGTGTCATATCTAAGAAATCATTGCCGAGTTCAATATCATGAAGCTTTTCCCCTGTGTTTTCTTTCAGGAGTTTTATAGTTTTAGATCTTACACTTAGGTCTTTAATCCACTGTACTTCAATTTTTGTATATGGTGTAAGATAAAGGTCTACTTGTTACTTTTCATGTGCATATGCAGTTTGCCCAACACAACTTATTGAAGAGACTGTCTTTTCCCCATGACGTGGTCATGACACTTTTGTCAAACTCATATGACTATGTATGTAAGGGTTTGTTTCTGGTCTCTCTATTTTATTCCATTGGTTTATTTGTTTGTGTTTATGCCAGTGCCACACTTTTTGATTGCTGTAGCCTCCTAATGTGTTTTAAAATTAAGGAGTGTGATTCCTCCAACTTTGTTCTACTTTTTCAAAATGATTTTGGCTTTTTGTGGTTCCTTAAGATTCCATATGAATTTTAAAATAACTTTTCTATTTCTGAAAAAAGTGCAATTGGGGTTTTGATAGGGATTATGTTGAATCTATAGCTTGCTTTGGGTGGTATGAACATATTAAACAATATTAAGTCTTCTAATTTATGAATACAGGATGTCATTTCATTTACTTAAATAGTCTTTAATTTCTTTCATTAATGTTTAATTGTTTACAGTACATACATAATCCTTCGCCTCCTTGGTTGAGTTTATGCCTAAGTATTTTATTTTATTTTGATGCTATTGTGAATGAAATCATTTTCTTTATTTCCCTTTGGGAGTATTCATTTGTAGTGTATAGAAACATAGCTGACTTCTTTCTGTTAATTTTGTATTATGCAAATTTTCTGAATTCATTTATTAGTTATTAACAGTTTGTGTGTGTGTGTGTGTGTGTGTGTGTAATCTTTAGAACTGATTTATCCATTCAGCCAATCTATATCTTTTAGAGAGTTTAATCCATTTATATTTAAAATAGTTCTTGATAAATCCTACTTGATCATAGTATATGATTTATCCCTGGGATGCAAGGATGGTTCAACATATGCAAATTAATAAATATGATACAGTGTATTAACAAATTGAAGGATAAAAATGACATGATCATTTTAACAGATGTAGAAAAAGCACTTGCCAAAAGTCAATGCTCTTTCATCATAAAAATGCCAAAAACATAGAAGGAATATATGTCAACATAATAAAGGTCATCTCTGACAAGCCCACAACTAACATCATACTCAATGGTGAAAAGTTGAAAGCTTTTTCTCTAAGATCGGGAACAAAATAATGATATTCACTCTCATCAAATCTTTTTAACATAGTACTGGTAGTCCTAGCCAGAAAAATTAAGCAAGGGCAAGAAGAGATACAAAAGAAATTTCAATCAGAAAGGAAGAAGTAAAATTGTTTCTGTTTTCAGATGATATCCTATATGTAGAAAACCCTAAAGACTCCACTAAAAAATTGTTGGAACTATTAAACAAATTCAGTAAAGTTGCAGGATACAAAGTCAACATTCAAAAATTAGTTGCATTTCTATTCACTAACAATAAACCATCCAAAAAGGAAATTAAGAAACAATACCATTTAAAATAATGTGAAAAAGAATAAAATCCTTAGGAATAAATTTAACCAAGAGGGTAAAAGACTTAAACACTAAAACTACAAAATATTGATGAAGAAAATTAAAGGAGACACAAGTAAATGGGAAGACATATTGTGTCCATGGATTGGAAGACTTAAAATTGTCAAAATGTCCAAGCTACCCCAAATAATCCACAGATTCAATGCTATTGCCATGAAAATCCAAATGGGTTGCTATAGATCTGTTTATGTTTTCTATTTCTTCTTGGGTCAGTTTTTGAACTTTATATTTGTCTAAGGAACTGTTAGTTTTATCTATGTTATTTAATGCACTGTTTATAAATTATTCATAGTATTCTCTTTGAATTCTTCCTTTTTTATACAGTCAGTAGTAATGTCCATAATCTCATTTCTGATTTGAGATACTCATGTCTTCTTTTTTTCTCTGTCAGACTAGCTTAAAGTTTTATCAATATCTTTTATCTTTTCAAACAATCAACTTTTATTCATTTTTATGATGTCTGTCTATTGATATTCTCATTTTGTGTATATGGCATTTTCATGATTTTCTCATGTTTCTTCTATGGCTTCCTTTAGTTCTATAAGCATGTTTAAGAAAATGGCTTTAACGTCTTTATCTAAGTTGTATGCCTGGGCTTCCTCAGAAATGATTTCTGTCAATTTATTTTTTTCCTTTGAATGGGCTATACCTTTTTTCTTTGTAAACTTTGCATCTTTTTTTTTGATTGTTGAAAACTGGATATTTGAATATTAGAATATTATAATGTGGTAACTTTGGAAATCAGATTATCCTCCTTTACCTGGGTTTACTGTTCTGGATTGTTGAAGGCCTCAGTCACCCATTTGTTTAGTGACTTTTCAAAACTATTTCTTGCAAAGAATGCCTGCTTTGTTCTATGTGGTCACTGAAGTGTCTATTCCTTTAGCTGGTGTTTACTAGTGTTTTGACATAGGTTTGCTTGAACACCAGGAACTAAAAATATCAGACACAAACAAAAACACCTTAGTCTTTTTGTACTGACTCCGTGCTGAGGCATTCCTTCAGCAGTTAGCTGTGCTGTTTACAACTCTTTCTTAGCCTTTACTTCCTGCTTGCATCTTCTCAGGTATTTTCTAAGCACCTGTCCTGCCCTGAGCATGCTTGAGGCTTTTTAAATTCCCCAGTACACATGGGTGCAGCAAGACTGACTCTTTTTCTTCTCCTTGATACAAACTTTGTGTTTTCAGAAAGGTACCATGGATTCTTTAAAAATGAGAAGCTAGCACTATATAATTGCCAAGATTTTGTATAGGTCTCAGTGTTCATTCTTTTATGATTCACTTGAGTAGGTGCCTATATTGTCAGCCCATGTTGGGTTTTGAAGCCAGATGTATAAAAATCAGAGCTATGGAATTAGCTTTAACTATTTTCATTTTAACATTTTAAAAATTTATGTACACTAAAATTCTCTTTCTGGTATATGAATGTTAACAAATGTATACAGTTACACAAAAAATACCAAAATCAATATAGAGAACAGTTTTGTTAATGGAAAAAAAGCCAAACTCTGTAAAATAATTTTAAAGAGATTTATTCTGAGCCAACTTTGAGGACTATGACCCAGAGCCACGCCCAAGAAGCCTTGAGCAAGTGGACTCCCTGTGGCTGGGTTACAGTTTGGTTTTGTACATTTCAGGGAGACGGGTTACAGGTAAAGTCATAAATCAATACGTGGAAGGCATACATTGGTTTGGCCTGAAAAGGCAGGTTATAGGTGGGTTTAAAGATTCTTTGATTTGTAATTGGTTAAAGACATGAAGCTTTCTCTAAAGGCTTGGGAAGTTTTAAGATAAGGAACTGTTAATCAGAGACAAGTCACCAGACATATATTTCTGTGTAAACTGAGGACTTGTAGCTTTGTCTTGCATACCCTTAGGCCTGTTAATGGGTTACAAAGCTTATCTCCAAGAAGGGAGGGGGGCATGATGAAGCATGTCTGACTTCCCTCCTCCCAGCAGGCAATTTAGTTTTAGGATATTCCCTTGGCCAAGAAGGGGTCCATTCAGTCAGCAAGTGGAAGGTGAGCCTTAATATTTTATTTTAGTTCACAGTTTCTTCACCTTCTCTGAATTTTTCTTGCCTGTGTTTATAGCCAACCTGTCCCTTAACTCCAGTCATTGGTTAACAGTAATCTGTTTTTCTCCCCATAATTTTACCTTTTCCAGAATGCCATATAAATGAAATCATACAGTATGTTCTTTTCACTCTGACTTTTATGACTTGGCAAAATGCGTTTGAGATTCATTTATACTATTTTGTGTAGCAGTAGTTCATTCTTTTTATTGTTGAGAAGTATTCTGTTGTATGAATTTGCCAAAGTTTGTTATGCATTTATTCATATGGAGGGCATTTGATTGTTTTAAGTTTTTGGCAGTTATGAATAAGGCCCCATAAACATTTGAAAACAGGTTTTTGTATGAATAAATTTTCATTTCTCTTGGGTAAACATCTAGGTTTGGGAGTCCTGGGCTTTATGTTAAATATATGCTTAACTTTCTAATAAACTGGAAAATGGTTTTCCAAAGAGACTATAGAATTTTGCATTCCCATCAGCAATGTATAAATGTATCGGGTGCTCATAAGTTATTTTTGTTTAAGCAGTTGTGATAGGTGTGAAGTGACATCTCATGTGGCTTCAATTTGCATTTCTCTAATGTTTAGTGATGTGAAACATCTTTTCATGTGCTAATGTGTCATTTGTATATCTTTTACCATTTTTTCCTTAGTTCATTTTGAAATTCATCTTTCAGTGTTGTTTATGTATTTCGGAAACAGCTTAGATTTTTTTGTGAGAAATGTGCTTTTGGCTTATAATTTTATTTTCTTAATAATGTCTTTAACATAACAGTTTTTTAAAAATATGATACAGCACAATTTAATCATTTTTTTCTTTTATAGTGGTTCTTTTGGTATTCCATTTAAGAAATCTTTGGCTAACCAAGGATCATAAAGATTTTTCTTCTACATTTTCTTCCCAAAGGTGTATAGCTTTGGGTTTTATATTTAGCTTTTTGGTTCATTTTGAATAAATAGGAATTATTTTTAAATTTTATTTACATTCTTAGAATTGTTTTTATACTCATTAAAAATAAACAATTTTGTTTTTTAAAAAATTCAATATCATAAGATATTTTTATTTTCGAAAACTGTTTTTGTAAACTGCTATTTTGCCAGATCAATAATATCACATATTTCTCAAAGCAAAAAGTCACAGGTCTGATGTATTTTTTGTCTATCAGGTGACAACATATGACTTCATAATTCAAGTTAAAATTAATTTCTTTGAGGCTTCAAAACTCTATACTGAATATTCGTCAAGTTCTTTAAATCCAAAGACAACACCACTTATTCGACCATGTTGTGTTCAAGTTACTGGTATGTAATGTGAAACAGTCAATTGATGTAGGTAGGCCAAAGATTTACTCTTAATCATCTAAAAGTTTAAAAAATCAGAATATGATATTTATTTTTCAAAAATAGAAATGTTAGAAAGTAGAATTATGATATGATTCTTTTGCGTCACTTAAACTATGTCTCTGAGATTGAATTTTGGTAAATACATAAGCACAGAAAGATTCTCAGGTAAGTAACTTTCTAAAAATATAGGATATATTAATAATTAAAAATGTCAATTTAGTACTTTATTGTGTGATCAATTTTTAGATAATTCAGACAAAATGTACATTAATAAAATAAAATGCATTGAATATGAAATGAAACAATGACAATTTTATCTATTTTATCTATTTTATCCATTTTTTGGAATAAAAAATATTTTTATTCCAAGGGAACAGGTTACTAAAAGACTAAGTACATGGAAAGAAGAATAAATATATTAAAAATTTGAATTATTTGCTGAATATTTACTCACTTTCTCCACATATTCAAGGATAAAACTGATGTACTCTGCAAACTATAGTTTTGACAAGCTTTGGTTTTGCTTTCAATCATATGTGCTTAAGTATTTTTCATGAAAGTCAAGTCTATATTTTTTTATAGTTCTGATATTAATTTAAATTGTCATTAATTATAAAATAGTGCTGACTTTCATATCAGTTAACAATCGCATTTGGCAGCTAGTAAAAGAAGTCTCAGAAAAATAGCATGTACATGATAGAAATTTATTTTGCTCTCATTTAAAATCCAGAATTAGGAATTCCTCAGTTGATATGGATGCTCCATGAAGTTAAAGTTTTTCCCTAGTTTTAATAAATTATTTTGGAAAAGAAAATAATCATTGCCTAATTTTGTTTTCTGAATTAGGTAGATAATCTTTCATGAAAAATAAAATTTACTTATTTGACAATTAAAAATTAATATAGCATCATGAAGAAAAATCAGAAAATGTAGAAATGAAAAAATCATCTGGAATGCCCATCTTTAGAGTAAACTATTCTTAATATTTTGATATCTTTCTCTTTTTTTGTTCTATATGTGTCTATACATTGCTTTTTAATTTATTTTTTAATATGTTTGGAATCTTACTGCTTATGCTAAGTTGAAACCATCTCTGGTAAATCCTTTTTTTCAAGCTGTGTCTTTTACTTTCTATTTAAAAAAATTTTATTATTTTTAATTATTAGGGGTACATAATAGTTGTATATCTTTATAGGGTACATATGATATTTTGATACAGCCATACAAAGTGAATTAATCAAATCAGGGTAATTGGGGTATCTATCGCCTCAGGTGTTATTATTTCTTTGTGATAGGAACATTCTAAGTCCACTCTTTTTTTTTTTTTGAGACAGAGTCTCACTTTCTTGCCTGGGGCGAGTGCCGTGGTGTCAGCCTAGCTCACTGCAGCCTCAAACTCCTGGGCTCAAGCGATCCTCCTGCCTCAGCCTCCCAGGTAGCTGGGACTACAGGCACACGCCACCATGCCTGGCTAATTTTTTCTATTTTTATTTGTCCAGCTAATTTCTTTGTATTTTTAGTAGAGACGGCATCTCACTCTTGCTCAGGCTAGTCTTGAACTCCTGAGCTCAAGCAATCCTCCCGCCTCGGCCTCCCAGAGTGCTAGGATTACAGGTGTGAGCCACCACACCCAGCCCCACTCTTTTAGTTATTGTAAAGTGTACCCTAAGTTATTGTTGAATATAGTCACTTTGTTGTACTACCAAATATTTTTCATTCTAACTCTATAACTATATTTTGGTACCTATTAACCATCCCCACTTTTTCCCCCCTTTCTCACTACCCTTCCCAACCTCTGATAGCCATCATTCTACACTTCGTTTCCATGAAATCAATTGTTTTTTTAATATTTAGCTCCCGCATATAAGTGAGAACATGAAAGATTTGTCTTTCTGTGCTTGGCTTATTTCACTTAACATAATGTTTTCCAATTCCATCCATGTTGTTGCAGATGACAGGATCTCATTCTTTTTGTGGCTATGTAATGTTCCATTGTGTATATGTACCACAATTTCTTTTTGCGTACATCCGTTGATGGACACTTAGGTTGATTGCAAATCTTGACTATTGTCAATAGTGCTGCAGTACACATGGGAGTGCAGATATCTTTTCTATATACTGCATTCCCCTCCTTTGGATATATACCCAGCAGTGGGATTGCTGGGTCATATGGTAGCTCTATTTTTAGTTTTAATAGAAACATTTACTCAGATGTTATAGTCCCTTATTATATAAAATAGCACTAATAGCTATTGTAGAATATTTCATCCTGTAAGTGTCTCTTCTAGGTTATTTAAACATCATCATAAGCATTTAGGTAAAACTTTGTTTTACATTCTTGTTAATATAAACATGGTAGTAGTGAACATTTTTGTGTATAATACTTTTTCCCTATTTAAATTTTTTTTCAAGAGAGATTCTCAGAATGGATTGCATTAACCATAAAGTATATACATGTTAAAGGCTCCTAATGTGTTTTGTCAAAGGGCTTTGTAAAGAATTGTACTGTTTTAACCCCTTCCTAGTATAAACTCTTACCAGTGTTGAATTAAAGATATTGAGTATATTTCTATGTGATTAAAAATATATAATTTCAATTTATAATTTTTGCTTGCTCATGAGAGTGAAAATTTCTTATCTTTGCTATTAATCATATTTTTTCGTAAATTTTCTGTTCATGTACTTCACCTTTATCACTAAGGTTTTATATTTGTCTGATAGATTTGAGTGAGCTCTTTATATATTTTTTTCATGTTTAATGTGAATGCTTTCCAAGATTTGTTGTTTTCCTTTAGTTTTATTTATTT